TGTCCCTTCGGAGGGTGTAGTTTCTCCAGCCTCCACAGCATCCTCGTGGATCACACCCGCGTCTCGCCCGCACTCCCAGACGCCCGCGCCCGCCGTCGCACCCTCAGGAGCAGTCATCTTCTGGGTCGTAAATTTGCGCCCATGTGGCAGTGATGTCGCGGGCGGAGGGGCTACTTTGGGGGACGTTATGATGCAGTGCGCCTTTCTGCGGTTCGACTCGTCCGGGGGGGAGGCGAGGGTGGGGGGGGTGCCACATTACCCTCACGTACTACACAGCTTCCTCTGCTGATGAACGGGGATAAACTTTTCTCGTCACAGCAATTCTTTTGATGAGATTTGACTGTCGTTTATATAGCGAGAGGCGAAGATGATGGCGAGGCTGATGGTCTGCGCGAGACGGCGCTGCAGACGCTCCGTAATCGCCTTGATGAACGCGGCCGCGACGCATATGAGGTCCTCCCGCGTGAGCGAGACTCGGCATGGAACTCGCGAACTTGTAGAAGATGGAAAGTTGTTTGTTAGCCTCAATGCGACGCGGTGAGATCGAAGTTGGACGTGGCTGCTAAACTTTAAGAAAATGGAATTATATCACATATTTGCATAAGAACCCGGAGGAACAATACCCTCCCTCCCTCCTCTAAGAAAAAAAAATAGATTAAACTGCCAGACACACGTTTTGACAAGTCCTCGACCTCGCTGGACTCCACGCATGGCCTGGCGGGGCGGTTCGTGCTTGTCCCTCCGGCGCCGCGGAGGTTTGGTCCATCATCTGAATTTTTGTCCGCAAGCCCTCGACTGCTGGAGCCATTGGGTTGCTGTTGACTGTTCCGATGTTTGCGTCTGTGTCGAGCCTCATCGATATTTATTTTCATCATTACCAGTACTGGTGTTGTTGTTGTTGATTTTGTTACTATTAATGCCTCCCCCAAGGAGGGTATGTTTTTGGTAGCTTTAGTTAGTTTGTTTGTTCGATGGTTAGCAGGATAACCCAAGAAGTTATGAACAGATTATGTGTCTTAACCCAACTTAGATTTTGGTGGTGGTTCGAATTATGATCCGGATCCAGGATTTTTTAAACGATTCATTAACATTTTATATAGGGATAACACAAACTTTTGGGCGCTTGAAATATTATTATTATCATTATTATTATTATTATTGTTATTGTTGTTGTTGTTGTTATGATATTGCCTTGACGGAGATATGCGCTCTCTTAGTGCTTCTAGTTATGGCTGCAATCACTATTTTTGTTATTTTTATGTTATTATTAGTGTTATTATTGTTATGGTTATGATTATTATTGCTGTTGCTGTTGTTATTGTTATTTCAATAGCTGCAATGAGTATAAACACTATTGTTATTATTTTAATAGTTTTCGGTCACCAACCCCTTAGTTTCACGTCTATCCTTCCTTGCTTTTCTGTTTTCTTTAAGATTAATTCTATTGTCCTTTGAAAACAACAGTATTTATTAGTGTTCGCATCACTCGCCATTTCATATACTAATACGAATGATCTTATGCTAACACTGATTATTATTGTTGATACGATCATTATTACTGATATTAGCATTGTTATTGCTGTTGTCATTGGCATAACGAAACATACCGCAATGTTAGTTATTCCCATTATTGTAATAGCGGTTGCGATTTCCCCGAATCTTCTCCGTGTGATGTCCCATCTCCTTCGGTATCTCAATCATCGTCTCTTTCTCCCTCCTTCCATTTCCATCCCCTTATCCCCACTTTCATCCTCTTCTCGATCCTATCACTTTCCTCCTCACATCTTTCCCTCTTCCATTTTTCTTTCCCTCTCCACCCTCTCCCTCTTTCACTCTTTTTCTCTCTCCTCCTCCGTATCCCTCGCCCTCTCCCCCTCTCTTCCCCTTACCTATCCTCTTCCCTTTCCCTCCCCTTCTCCCCCTCTTCCTCTCCCTCGCGTCCATCAACACCACGACCCCTGAGGGAGGCACGTAGTTGGGGGAGGGGGGGGGGAGACAACTCGAAGGAACTGGGTAATTCGTGTGAATATTGTATGACGTCATCCAATCACCAGCCAGATCCTCCTCAACGCATAACGGCGCTTTTGCACTAAGGCCACGGGGGGGGGGGGGGGGCGTTGCGGGGATAGACACTGATGGGGGAGTTGGGGAGGGGGGGGTAACCGGTCTTTGCGTGATGTTAATGATTATGATGATGATATTGATTAGGATAATATTGATGATAATGCTATTGATAGTTGAAGTCATGATAATAGTAAATACGGTATCTAAGGAAAAGTTAAGATAAGAATAAGGCAAACATCTTTGGGCAACAAAACTCTAAAGTTGCGAGAAATCGAATGGTGAAAGCGATAAGAGGATTTTTTCACCGAAGAACGCGGCGGTTCGAGTGCAGGCAATTACGTGACTCCCGGCAAGTGCTCTCGGCCCTGCTCACGGAGGCCTGGAGAAAGTCTTAGGCTTCGACACCCGCGTTTCATAACAATTGCTCTCGCGACTT